TTGACTTGAATAAGACAAATCCACCTCATTGATTTCATTAAAATATGAATATTATAGTTTTTGGCTATGGTGGGTTTTCTGAGGTAGAAATTGGGCAGAGTGTAAGCATCACTATGAACCAAAAATGATGAGAAACTGCTTCGCATCTCTTGGTGGTGAGTGTAAGTGCCGTCGAGTCAGTTCTGACTCAGAGCAACCCTGTGTAGGATTTCTGAGGAGTGGCTGGTGGGTTTGAACCACTGACGTTTTGGTTAGCTGTCCAGTGCTAACCCTAAAGAGCCACACAGACTATTATTATTCATAAAAACCCTGAAAGTAAATTGTGTGTATTTATTTATTATGTAGAGAACATGGAACTGCCAATGGGAGTGTGGAACAGTGCGGCCAGTTTAGAAAACAGTTTGGTGGCATCTCAGTAAAGGACTGAATAGCCCCACACCTAGGTCTGCTCATGCAAGAGGCTTGAAAGCAGGGACAGATACCTGCATGCCCATGCTTACTGCAGCTCGATTCATGAGAGCCCAGAGGTGGAAGCAACCCAAGTGTCCATCAACTGGTGGAGATGCAAAACACTGTCTTGCCATACATGTGTATCATTGAACTGTGAAAATAAACGTAGCGTGCGTGCTGGGACTTGGCTAGACCTGACAGAACTGTGTGCAGCGAACAACGTCAGACACAAAGACCACGTGCTGTGATCTATCAGGCCTGAACAAACCGTTAGAGACAGGAAGTCTTGGTTGATGGGACGGAGGGGCTGTGAATGGGGGCCATTCTCCGGTGGGCTCTACATCTCTTTCTGAGGTGAGGAGCGTGTTCGGGGATGTGACTGTGTTGATGATAGACACCGTGCAGAACGCATGTAATGCCGCTGAAGTTCTCACTTCACAGGGGTTTGAATGGTTTTCAGTTCTGTATAAACTGACGCTGGCTCGAGTCTGACTCACAGCACCCTACAGAACCCAGTGGATGTGTGCCTTCGGGTTTCCAAAGCTGCAAATCTCTACTGAAGTGGACCACCTCCTCTTTCTCTTGCGGAGTGGCTGGTGGGTTTGAATCACTGGTCTTGCATTTAGTAGTGCAATGCTTAACCCACTGCACCACCAGCGTTCCTAAACTGCATATTGTTGTTGTTAAGTGGCTTCAAGTCAGTTTCAACTCACAGTGACCCTGTGTAGGGTTTCTGAGGAGCAGCTGGTGGGTTTGAACCACCGACCTTGTGCCTAGCAGTCCAATGCTTATACCTAGTAACACACCAGGACCTAAATTGTGTACACTTTACCCTAACGAAAAAGACGATGGTTATGTTTCAAGAATTTAGAAATCGAAATAAAGTATCCAAAGAAAGATCTCACTAAGATGACTGAACAATTAAGGGCTTAATTTCATTTTTAGCTTAACTGCTAGAGGCAAAAGGTTGCAAATTAAAAGGGGAAGAAATTAGTAACCTGTAAATAAACTGCAAGAGAAAAGATTGAAGTTGTCAAGGACTTCATTCTTCTTGGATCAACTATCAACATTCACGGAAGCAGCAGTCAAGAAATCAAAGGACGTAT